GTGGCTGCTCCCCTTCCACGACATTGGGCACAACGCCCACGTGAACACCCATGCACACTCTGTCTGGGCAGACACTCCTGTCTCCATGCATTCCGCCCAGGGAGCCCCCTGGTCAGACAGCAGCGCCGGCCGTTTTCGGAAGAGGTGAGTCACTCTGCATTCCCATCAGCGATGGGAGGGAGCCATGTGCTGCTGGCAGGCCTGGCACTGGCTCACCTGGACTTCAATCTGGACTCGCCCGATGACCAGTGATGGCGAACATCGCTGACGCGCTTACGGGTCACTCCTACAAATTCTCCGGGAAATGCCTGTGCTGGTCCCTTCCTCGCTTTACACACCGGCTACCTCTCTCTTTACTACTGATCTGCATGAGCTCCACGTCCAGTGCCTCACTGGATGTATGAGTCGCAAAATTTTTCTTCCATTTGGTGGGCTATTTTTTCACTTTCATGATGTTATCTTTAAATAAAAGCTTTTAATTTTGACGAAGTCCAATATATCTGGGGTTTTTGCTCTTGGCATTTATGCTTTTCACACCACAATTTAGAAAACCCTGACTAATCCATGGCCATGAAAACTTACACGCTGGGTTTTAAGGTCGCCTTGGTCCGTTTTGAGTTATTCTCCAGCTCCTGCAGGACAGGAGAGAAGGGTCCGACTCCGCTCTCTTGCACAGACATCTGGTTGTCCCGGAACCGCTTGTTGAAAACACAAACAAAAACCTATTGGCCACAGTTCTGTCTTCACCGCAAATGTAAAGCTGCACTTCCGGCCTCCCCAGGTCAGTTCCTACACTGGCGCCACACTGTCTCGCCACCAGCCTCAGAGTCAGTTTTGAGCCAGGAGCGAGCCCCCAACTCTGTCCTTTTTCAGAACTGCGGGTATGCTGCCTCCCATGCGTTCTCCTATGAACTTGGGGACTGGCTTGTGGATTTTCACAGAGAAGCCGGCTGGGATTCTGATACAGACTGCAGTGAATTTACAGATCAGTTTGGAGAATATTATAGTTTACCAACATTAAGTCTCTAATCCGTGAACCTAGGGTGCCTTTCCACGTTTTTAGGTCTTAATTCCTTTCTAGGATGTTTTATAGTGTGCAAAGTAGAAATTTCGTTCTTTCTTTATTAAATTCATTCTTATTCTTTGTCATGCTATTGTAGAGGAATTTTCTAATTTTCATTTTCAAATTCTTTACTGCAAACGATTTTTATATATTTATTTCATATCCTATATTTTTGTGAACCAGTATATTAGCACCAACAGTCTCTGTGAAATTCTTTAGGGTTTTCTATATGTGAGTTCAAGTCATCTGAAATAATGAATACTTTACTTCCTTCCTATTGGCTTTATCTTTACGTGGCACAGTGCTGGCTAGAATACCCAGGACAGCGCTGACGTGGTGGGAGAGGACGTCTTCATCTTCCTGCTCTCGGGTGAAAGGCATTCAGACCCCCACCAACAAGCGTGCTGTTAGCTGCAAGGCTTTCAGGATGCCCTCAGCTCAAACAAGCTCCTTTTAGTGTGAATTTCCTGAGTGTTTGTATTTCAAAAGGTGTTGCTTTCTGCCAAAGGCTTCTCTGTCTACTGAGATAATTATGTAGCTTTGTCTTTTATTCCACTGACAAAATATAGTACATTCATTGGTTTTTGGATTCTTAAACCAACCCTATATTCCTGGAATAAATCACATAGTCATGGTACTTGGTCCTTTTATCATACTGCTGGATCCATCTGCTTGTGCTTTGGTGAAGATTTTGCGTCTCTATTCATACGATACATGAGTCTGTGGTATCTTCTCTTGGGATGTCTTTGCCTGGTTTTGGAGTAGTGACAGTTGAGATGTATTATTATTGTTGTTATTTTCTTCTAGGGGATAGTGGGATGTCCTGTGAGTTTAAATGTTTGGCAGCATCCCTGGCCTGTACCTATTAGATGTCGTTAAGTAGCTTATATATTAACTCTATATTCACAAATAAAAGAAGTCACCATGTATTATCATTCTGTTTTTATAAGCAATTTTCTAATAAAAAGGTTTTAGAGTTCATCTTGGGTGAATTTTCTCATTCTTTCCTACAATTTCCAAAGCCAAAGCTTACTTAAAATTCTGACCAAACTAATCTCAATGAAAAATCGTCCAAGATGACAAAGCATTCATTTCTGATAACAAAAAAAGGCAATGCCTCTAAAATGTCATACCTTTAAGAACTGGACTAATTAAAAAAAAAATTGGACTAATTCTGTCATAATTGTTAGCTTTATGTTCCTGTGACAAAATACCTGAGATAATCAACTTATAAGGAGGAAAGGTTATCTTAGCTCGGCGCTTCACAGGTTCCAGGCCATGGCTGATTTGCCTGGCGCCTTTGGGCCTGTGCCCAGGCAGCGCATGATGGCAGACAGTGTGTGGGAAAGGAAGCACGGAGGGAGACAGGAGGGGCCAGCATCTGGGTCCCCCTGGAGGACACGCCCCCGTGACCTCACTTCCTCCTGCAGGCCCATCTCTGCCCAAAAGCACCACAGGCTGGAGACCAGGCCTGTGACCTGTGACCTGTGACCTGTGGGCCTCTGGGACATTCAACGTCCAAACTACACCAGGATCCACCTGCTGTCCTTCATGCTATAGCTATGCTGTTACATTATTCTGCTCGGAATAGCCACACTTAAATCCTCAAAACAATTTTGGAACCTCAAATTTTTCCCTTATTAAAACACTTTACTTCACCTACTCCTAAGAATCATTCCTGAAATGGTATATCTTCTTCCACCACCTCAAATTCTATTGTAAAGGCACAAAGACCTTGAAATAAATGCTCCTCGATTTTATAATATATGCAGCAATTTTTATGAAAGCATTCACTAAACAAAGCAACTCAAGTTGAATTCATTTTTCCTGACAATACAAGTCTTAAAGTACAAGTTCAAAAGTTCAGCAGCATAACATGATTATAAAGTAATACAACCGCATTTCATACACAAGGAGAATATTCACTTTTTCCAAAGTAACTGCCTCAAGAGGTTGCTTTGTCTTTCCAAACTACACGGCCTGCAGACCTAGTCCCCTGGCATGGTCTCCAGAGTGAAGTCACATACCACCTGTGAAGCCCCACCACCCAGGCTGCAGCAGTCCAGTCTGGTCGCCATCTGCAGCCGCTCTTCCTGCTTCCAATGTCTTTGTGGCAATTTCCAACTAAATCCACTCTCCAGGATCTGGAATTCCTTCCTTCTTTCATTAACTCCATATTTTCTGACTGTCTACGAGGAGCTAGGAACACATACAAAATGAGGGCCTATCGCTTTGCTTCATTGTTTGCTGTTATTTTAACTCAATATGAGAGGACACACTCTTTCAGTCTCAAATCATCACCCAGACACATCAGAATCTGATTTTACAAAGCAGGGGACAGTTTCACTACTCCGATGTTAACTCTTCCTTCCTTGGTGCTGCTTCCTTCCTGGGCGAGCTGTCCATCCCTGACTACTTTGCTGAAGCTTCTCCAGCACTGAAGCTTCTCAAGCCCAATGCAGATGGCTTGTTCTTTGGGGTTTTTTTGTTTTTGTTTTTTTGTACGTTTGCAGTTCATGTAGCTTACAATAGTCTTGGGGAATCGTTACGTGTACATAGTACAGCATGTTTCTTCTTTTGTTTCTTGCTTCTTTAAATTTTTAAAAATTTTTAACACCATCAACCACACAGATGGGCCTCTCCAATAGCCTAACTGTGGGGTTAAAGCAGCATCCACTGAGGCATCATGGCAGGCCGCCACTTTCTAAAAGTAAAACCCTTCGGCCATACTAGAACACTCACAGGTTAATATAACACCAGGTTAAAAGTTTAAGTGATTCAGGGCCAGGGATTTAGTTCAGTGGTTCTGCTGCCTGCTGCACAAGCGCAAGGACCCAAGTTTGATCCCCAGTACCAAAAAAAAAAGTTTAAGTGATTCAAATGCCTCTGAGCCATCACGCACCATCATCTTCCTCCTCCTCCCCAGAAGAAGCAACTCCTGACCTAGCAAGGGGTCCTCTTGGAGCGGTGTGTGCCACGCCCTCCCACACACCGACTTCCAGCTCAGTTCACTCTGTTGGTCCTACAGACACTCACTGTGCATGGCACACACGTGACACAACAAACCCATTTCCCTGCGATGCCATCTACACTGCTTCAAACGGGACAACTATGCCTCTAGAGAAGCATCACTGTTTCATCAAGGACTGCACAGAGTACATCGGAGACCTTATGACAAGACTCCCAAGGACGCTCCCTGTCCCACTCTGCCCAGCACCTCAAGTCAGCGCCACTGTCCAGCTCCCTGCTGGCCAGCCCTGCGGAGTGCCGAGTTCACTGACCCAGGGCCACTGGTGGGCGGTGACTCCTGACGGCGGCAGGACAGGGTTGGTGGTGGAGAAAGAGAGAGGCAAGAAGTCGACCCCACTGTCACCTCGTTACACTAGCGTTCCCCTTGACAGCCACTGTCTGGTGACGTTTCTGAAATCTGCAAGTTAGTCACTCTGCGAAAAGCACCTGGATTAATAGCTCGCCCCTTTCTCTCCAAATGTACAGTCTGTGAAACAAGAGCTGAAACCAGGAGTTAGAAAAGTAGCAAAATGTTGTGAATGCTTTTAACTCTACTTCCTTTTTTTTTTTTTTTTGGTACTGGGGATAGAACTGGGATCTTGCGCTTGCAAGGTAGGCAGTGGAACCACTGAGCTAAATCCCCGGCCCTAAACCTACTTCTTAATCCCCTTAAGAGAAAGCACAGTTCCACAGCCAAAACAATCTACCAAATGGTTACCATGAATACAAGCTGCCAGAATTTTATCAATATTTTAAGTTAATTAATATTTGTATTATTCTGCAGCAGTACTACCAAAGAGTCTTTCTCTGTCCTGTCCTAGGGAATTCTACCAAAAGCAGGTAAATCCTCTGAATATAACACATACTAAAGTTGAAACATTTTTACTGTAACTCTCCACCTGCCCTTTTGACTTGAGACACCACTTACTCGGGTTTGGAGAGTATCTTTTCCAAGTTAAACTCTTTGAGGTATCTTATTATGGCAGCCAAACAGCAAATCACAGGTTTCTCCAAGTTAATGATGCCAGAAAAACTTTGAGAACCTAAAAAATAGAACGGATACCCTCATTAACATTATTTCCATTATTAAAAAACAATCCTAAGTAAACTTTAGATGCTATCTCCTAAACTGGCCCATTGGAAAAATTGTGAGTGATTACAAATGACATAGGAGAAAGGAGGCATCTTTTTTTTTTTTTTGGTGCTGGGGACTGAACTCAGGACCTTGAGCTTGCAATGCACTTGTGCTTGCGATGAATCTTTTTTGGAGAACAATAAAGAATAAAGAAAATATAAAATTCTCTATGTATTATCTAAAATGCACCAATTAATTTATATATATATATATAAAGACATATATACAAGGTGAGCTGAAAAATCTTTTGCAAACAAAAACACCAGCGATGACCTACAGGGTAAATACACACCCACAGGGTAACACTCACACATTCCACTAAACACAGATTATGTACGCCTACTGAAAGGGACAGCCTGGACTGCAGGGCTCAAGCTGAGTGGCCAGCCAGACACAGGGATGGGCATTCTTGGGGTCCCGGCCAATCCCAGTGATGAGGCCAACAGAGGAGCTCTTGCTGAACCGGCACCCAGTCCAGACCGCCCACCCCACCCCACTGAGAGCAGAAGGCCGAATCTTAGCACCACGGACAGGGTCCCAGCTCCCCACCCCCACCCGGCTGAGTACCCCAGTGGACCCCGAAGGCCCCCACGCTCCCTCTGCCCCTCGCCGTTTGCACAGATTCAGATTCGGCCTCCTCGGCAAACTCTAGTCCTTCCTGCCTTATCTTCTCCTTAGCATTCACCACCGTCCAACACACTAACCAGGTACATTCATGTGGGTATTGTGCGTTTGTCCCTAAAACCACCCTTAGGGACTTGAGTAGAAGTTTTCACAATCTCCCGGAGACAGGCGGGGCAGGGCCAGAGGGCAGAGACTTCCTGTTTCTTTCTACACAACTGCAGAGTTAATGCTTTTGCAGTAAGAGTTTACTACTTTCAGAAATTAAGAATAAACCAACAGTATATCTTTTTATTTTAATTATAGATGTTCATAAAATCAGAGTGTAAACAAAGAGCTAACACCCCCCCTTCACCTTCGCCTGAGCAGTGATTTTCTTGTAACTTTGTAGCCGTTCCCCAGGAACCTGATACAGACTGAGGCCCATGTGTCCCAAGGCAGCACTGACCAAAAGTGAGTGCTTGTATCTGGCCTGGAAGAATGACAAAGGTGACACCAGCACATTGGCCTCCCTCAGTGCGGTCCCTGCAGCCTGCGTGTCTGCGGGAGACTGCCCTGTTGATCATACCCACAGCAGGCTGCAAGCAATCCAGGCCACAAAGAGTTAACCCCACAATCGGCTTGTTTTAAGAAACGAATCTGACTAAAGCTTATTGTGACTCATGGGGGCACTGCAGTGGTGTGTGGATTAAAAGCTATCACCAGCACCGCACCAGCCAACAGCAACAGCAGAGGCCAGAGAAATGGCCTGTGAAGCTGTGAGGCTCTGATATGATACACAGCCGAGGTCAGAGTGACTCTTATCCAAATTCTGTTCCCAGAAATGAAACCTCCTTAACTGTAAAGACAGGTTAATCATTAACCACAACCTATTCTGGTCTGTTCTGTTCCCAACCCAAGAATACTGTCCATTTCCTACAAACCTTGGCTGCATCAGCAACTCAGCCCTAGCAACCACACCAGCCCCTGACCCCAATCTGACAATGACTGCGTCACCAGGAAATATCAGCATTCTGGCTGCTTCAGGGTCTTTGCTGCTTCCTCAGCACTGACCATCCCAGCTCCCTGTTTTACTTTGATTCTATCTCTAAGGCTTTCTTCTTATCTTGTGTTGTTGCACCAACCAGGAGATCGGGATCCTCTGCAGGGGTCCCTGGTACGTGGCCTTTCAGAGTCTCCCAAAGGGACATGGCCCTCGGGCTGGACCTCTGGGTCAGGGTGGGCCCTACACTCACCTGGATGGGCGTCTCCTTCCTCCATATATGAGCTATCACCCAGGTAGAGCTGAACTTATAAGAAGTAAGTTTTCTCAGCCTTGAACAATCCCCCTCGGGCCCTTCCTCTCCTGTGGCTGCCATCCTCTGGCCAGTACAGAGAAGATTAACAACCTGGTCCTGTCAACAAGGTCCTGAGACATCCTGTTCTCAGAGAATCTGGTTTTCTTTCAAGGCTAAGATATAAAGCTGTCACTGTATGAGTAACTGCCTTTGTCCCACTTTGTAACCTTGTTTGCCTACCCACCAGTTTCACACCAGACCCCTCTGACCCTAAGTATAAAAATTGGAGCCTCTCCTTTGTTCAGGAATCAGCCTTTGGACACGAGTCCACTGGGGCAGTGTTCACCTAAAATCCTGGAGTAAAATCCTCCTGTTTCACCTGTGGTTTCTCCTGTCCCTTAAATTCTGCAACACGAAGACAGGGACCTCAAGCTTCCAAGGGCCCGCGACACTACTTTGAGGTTCCCTCCTCACAGATGGCTGTGCTCCATCTGTGTCCCTCAAGTGACCTGATGCCCAGAAAGGAAGAGGGCAGGCTCATCTGCAGTGGCACTGCATCCTGGGGTCCCAAGTGGGACATGGCTCAGGCACCTGATTCCCTCTGGCCCAGCACTCTGTGTCCCAGGCACAAGCTAAGCAGATACCCTTCGGACGTGGAGGGAAGAACTAGCGAGACAGGGAGGTTGCAGCAGGAGACGAGGAGTCAGGATCCACAGCCCATGGCAAGGACAGAGGATCTCTGTGAGGGGTCCGAGGAGCACTGGGGAGGGGCTAAGTCTAAGCCAAGGGGAAAATGCATTCAACTCAAATCTATGAATCGGGCCCTAACACAAGCTGGCCTGGCAGGAAGGAGAGGTAGAGACAAAATCAAGCTCCCAGTGCCTGAATGAGACCAAAAACGGCTCCCTTACATGTCAGAGCCCGGCACTAATGCCCTGCCACTTTAATTCTGGCACCCAATCTTTCGCGATCCTAGCCTCCAGCTAAGTATTTATCCAGATGTTCTGTTAAAATGCAGGGATAGGGCCAGGGATTTAGCTCAGTGGTTCTGCCACCTGCTGCGCAAGTGGAAGGACCTGAGTTCAATCCCCAGTACCAAAAATAAATAAATAAATAGATAGATAGATAGATAAATAAAATGAAATGCAGGGATACTAATGGGCCATCTTAAAGATAAGCAAGAAAAAACTGTCTTCAGTAACTCCTTACATTCTGATGGACACGGGCCCAGAGGTCCCATGGAGAAAGGAAGATGCTGTCAATGTTCCTTCCTGGCTGCGCCCACTGACTTCTGATCACAACCTAGCTGTCATTAGACTGAAAGTCATGAACCCGCATTCAAACCAAGCAGGCTGCATTCAAATCAGCCCGCCCAAGGACTTCTGGCCAATGTGTAAAATACTCACCTCTGACATCCACTGGGTCCTTTGTGTAGAACTCTGTGACCACCTGGAAAGCATGGCTGTATTCAAAATAAACATTATCCATCCTCTCCACTCGAATTCTGTCATCCCGCAAACTACAAGAAAAAAAACAAGAATGTCAAAAACAATCCACAGAGGCGGAGATTTAGCTCAGTGGTTCCACCAACTGCTGCACAAGCTCAAGGACCCACCCGAGTTTGATCCTTGGTACCAGAAAAAAAAAAAAGATCCACATTAAATCCTGACCTGCTCTCCAAAAAAGATTCGCTGCTCCTTCTCACTCATATCCAAGACAGGAAAAGAGAGAATATGGTCTGCAGATTCCCGGGCAAAGCACCCCATTTCGTGAGCTACTCAAGTTACTCCTTGTGTGTGTGTGTGTGTGTGTGGGATGGAGGACTGAACTCAGGCCTCACACAGGACGGGAAGCACTCTGCCACGGAGCTACCTCCTCCACCCTTACCATAGTTGCCTGCTTTGATTTTATGCCACCCAGCACGTTGTGAGCACTTTACAAATATCATCAAAAAGGACTCGCTACAGTCAGGATGAACTGTGTTAATGAACGAAAAGGGAGAGGGACTGAAAGGCATTTCAACTGGCTCCCATCGTGTGTTTAGACACACAAGCCACTGCTCTCCGGGGGGCGTCTCCGTCTGGGTTGCTTCTGGCGGAGTAAGCACAGCCTCCAGTCAAACACAGGCAGCTTCCCTGACAAACTTGACTGTTTAGGTAAAGCGGTCCCTGGCCTTTAAAAGCAGTCAGAGTCCAGGTGCGACAGGCGTAAATCACAGCCCCATGCCCTCCTGCTCCTCTCGCTCTGTAAACGGCCACACCATGGCCTTCACGGTTTCCTGTTCCTAGGGTCGGACACAAGCACGCACCACGCCCCTGTGAAATGGGGGGACTCTCCACTCCCTTTTCTTCACCTTGCTTCCTTCACTAAGTAATGACTCTCCACACTCTTCATGTGAAGTGAGGTAGATACAAACCATTCTTTTGAATAACTGGAAAATACTTCATAGTGTGTGACTGCCACAATGTATCCAACCATTTCCTTACTGTGCAATATCCAGGTGGAGTTGAGTGTGCCGTGTTACTTTAAAGCATTTTTATTCTCAAAATAATACACCCTACAGATACAGCGTAGGGCCCACGGCCCTCTCTGTCACTGTCACGAGGGAACGCGTCTCGAGTCCGATGCGCATCATTACACGCGTGCTTCCACACTTCACAGCACAGACGCTATCTTGCGCTCTCTATTTTACAGGACTGCTACTTCATTAAACCTGTACGACTCGCTCTGGCACTCGAATGTTACATTTCTAAGACATTCATGCAGACAGGTGTAGTTTATTTTTAATGCCTCCAAGTGTTTCATTCTTTCTTGTATCTTCTAGCACAATTTTCAGATTTGCTTCCCAAATTTAACCGATTTGAATGGGGGTGAAATGAGAAATAGACTGGTTCTCCACAGGGCCGGGAGGGCGGGGAGCACTGTTCAGAGCTTCCCCCTTCCCTGCCGAGCCGCGGCACTCCCTGCTCGGCACACGGTCTCCCCATGGTCACCCTGTTCAGGCTGCTCGGTCGGCCCCTGGGCCCGGCTTCCAGCCACCTCAGAATCAGCACACGAAGTCCCCATCCCCGCAGCTTGCTGTCCACACCTGGGTGCCAGGGCCCCGACCTCACTCTGTCTTGCCTACTTCTGGGCCTTTGATTTTCCTTAGCAATTGTTGGCTCATCCTGCTCAGTTTCACAAGAAGTTTCCTGGGATCTTGACGGGATCCACAGTCAGCGGGTGGAGAGGGGCCTCCTTAACACGGTGACAGCCGGAGCACTCACAGGTCCGCTTGCGCCTTTCTGCCCTGCCCAAATGCTCTCCATGAGGGCTTCGCATGGCTGACTGTGCTCACTCCTGACAGGTGCGTGCACACGTGTGCCCTCGAGGGAGAAAGGCCCCAGGAGTCTCTGCTGGGAACAGAAGCGCCGAGGGGGCCCAGCATCCGGGAGAAATCGCTGACTGGATCCATGGAAGCAAAGGGAAGAGGGACGCTAGGAAAGCACATGTGACTGCTCTGGGAGCATCTCTTACATACGCGGATACAGGTGTGTCCAATAACCTAGGAAGGCAGGAGTATTAACAACGAAGGTGGACCATGACCATCCGAGCTAAGACGTTCTGGAAACCTTCCCAATCTTCGGCTCTTATGCAGAGCCCGTCCTTGGTCTCGACATGAAACTTAAGAAAGCCCTGAAGTCATCTCCAGGGCCAAGCTAAAGTCAGCTTCTGAATTTTTACTTTTATAATTTTTCCTCGAAACACGGAGATTCTACGATCTGGGTTAAAAGGTCAACTGCAATGTCTTGCAGTAAATAAGAACAGTAGAATGCCCACGATCCTGTTTAATGGGTTACAGCTGTAAAAGAAAGCTTCATGGCTGAGAATCTGAGTTTTTCATGTCTGCTTCTACTTCACAAACACAGATGAACAAAAACACACAGACCCTCAGGTGTGGCCACAGCAGCAGGTGGCAATCAGGTCTCCATGGAGTTCCCAGCCTAAACAGCACGGAGGGTTATGGTGGTTACGTGGAAGACATGGAAGATCCATGCGCACGGCCACGCCCACCAGGAAGGAGCCCTTCCCTCCCTCCCTCCCTCCCACCCACAGGGAGCAATTGAAGAGACCACCCGGCTTTTATTATTCGTCTCGGAAAAACATTATTGCTTTTTGTTTTGTTACACTCAAGATGCTCTTTAGCCTCCCCCAGTCCTGCCGTAAAAACACCCTTTTCACTTCGAGCACTAGCACGAGCACGCTGCACGGCTCTCACCCACTCTTCCCTTCCTGCCGAGCCCCTTCCCCCTGGGCTTCCAGAAGCCTGCAGCGATGGTAGAACACATATGACCTTCCTTCAGCTCAGGGTGCCTGCTCCTCAGTCGCTGCTCTAATTAAGGCTTTGTTTGATAAGCACTAAGGATTTAGAAACCCATTAAGCGTGGGAGAAAAAACGATGTGCCCGTTACCTGAGGCTTTCGGGAAAGCGGTCCAAGAGCATCAGCTCCATCCTTCTGCCACCTATACGGGAAACCTCCACATACAAGCATGTGCTCACAGACACCTCAAGCTACAAAATCCCTCTCTGCCCTCTCCTGGGCCTCCTGGTTACAGTGAGATACGGTGAGTTCAAATCACTCTCCTTGAAGCAAGATTCTATCTGAAATTCTGCACACACACACACACACACACACACACACACACACACACACAGAGGAATAGCCTATTGTTTTGTCTTTAATCAAATTCCTAACTTGACATTCTCACATGTCACACACCTCCCTGCTATCAACAGGTGTTTCTGAAAGGTTAAATGGTGATCAAACTGTCCTTCTCAGATCTGTCAGCAGGATCTCCTCCACTGTGCACCGAATCACGGGACAGTACACGTCAGAGGATCAGAGGCACAGCCCCACCCACATACATGACAGCCCATGCAGCAGGAGGCTGGAGCGGGCGGGGCATCTGTCTGCTGACAGGTTTCCTGGCCAGTCACCAACTGTAGGCGAGAATACGGTCTGTATGAGCAGCACGGCCCCCACCACAGGACTGGGAATCATCCCCAAACAGACGTATCCAGTGACAGGCATGACTGAAATGGAGTTTAGATGCACAGTATGCGCACAAGGGGAAGATAACGAGTGCAGAGCCCCATGCTCCGATCACCTCCCCACAGGAGGCTTTGGGACACCTGTGAGATTTAACCACAACACAGCCCCATCTGCTGGGGGTCCCCCTGGGGAACCTCACTTGGCTCCTCCCTCGGCAGGTCTGGATGTACTGAGCCAGTGAGCGGGCCCTCTGCTAGACCTTCACCATAAGCAGCACCATCATCTGGCAGCCAGGCACCACCCACTTCTGTGTCTCCACCATCCGCTGCCAAACCAGGCACACGGCAGGTGCCCAGTGTTTTTAAGGAGGACTAAGTGATTGAATATATAATGGACATCAGTCAACACTGAGTTTTTTTCCTCAGGTTAAAAAAAGGGAAAATCAATTAGAATTTACTGCTAGCCATCTAAATTAATAAAATTAACTGGAAGGTGGAATAGAGCATCTTCATAAGAAAGAGGAGCCAATTTGAAACATGAAGAGCTCGTCTTCCAGCGCTTACATGCCTTTTCTCTGCCTTGAATTTGTCTCTAGCTCTAGTTTAGACTGCTGTCATATGCAACTTGGGGTTAACTCCAACCAGCGCCCACCGCAGTCTAAACAAGGAGCCCTCTGGTGTGACACATGTGTCTACATCATGCACCAACCCTCCCCACTCCGCCACCTCTGCCTTCTGGGCCGCCGAATCTCAAGCCCCTCACCACCACCTGGCAGCTCTGGCAAAGTCAACTCAACCACTAACTTCAGAATCCTGCTACACCATACACACTCAGGAAATCACAAGTTTGGCTCCCTAATTACATGTTTTTAATACACCTTCAGTAAATACTTAACTCCGAAAGCAAAGAATGTTTGTGAAACACTTAAAATTCTCTCAGGTAAGCAAGCCAGGTGCCATCGGCTGTACCTGTGGTGCCCACTGCCCAGAGTCCCAGCCTGGCACCTGCTGCCCTCCAGGACCATACAGCCCGGGCTCCGAACTCCACTGGGGCTTTCTCTGGGCCGTGTGCCGCGCGCTCTTGAGTCCCTCCGAGTCTCTGACTTCTCACTTTATGCTTCATTCTTCATGTGCATGCAGCAAGAAAGGGGAACTGTACAGAGGTGTCATGGCCTGACCCCCTGGCAAAGCCCCGCTGTTCCTCTCTGAGCCTGGACTGTTAATTTATCGAGAGGGAGATAGGGATTTCCCCACTTGATTATGCTTTTTAAAGCACCCTAACATGCTTAAACTTTAAGTGATACTAAAAATGTAAAAAGCAGTTTAAGTATAAAAAATGGGAAAAGAGAGGGCTTTTTACTCAGATCCATCTATGAACAAGTCAGCTGCACTCCAGTAAAGATGCGCACACTGGCACTATCGCTACAGGCCAAGCGCTGACTTTAAGTCTGTCAGAGAAACAGCAAGGAGCCGAGCTCACGTGGGCT